CTATTTGTCGACTATAAAGCCGCATTCGACAGCCCTATCCGTTTAGAGGTGTTTAAAGCCATGTCTGCGTTCGGCATTCCTGCAAAATTAATACGGTTATGCAGGATAACTTTAAGTGGCACAAGGTCAGCAGTTAAAGTAGGAAAGGACCTATCGGAGCCCTTCAATACCGAACGAGGATTCAGACAAGGTGACAATTTGTCGTGTGATCTTTTTAACATCCTACTGGAAAAGGTCATACAAGACGCAAAGGTGAACAGAAATGGCACTCTGTACACCAAACAACACATGTTACTCGCCTACGCCGATGGCATCGATATAATGGGTCGAACATTGCGATCGGTAACAGCCACCTTTGAAAAAATTGAAAAGGAGTCTGTCAAAGTGGGCGAGAAGACCAAGCTGATGGTATCAACGCTCAAGACGTCCAGTAGACTCAGACCAACTGTGGAACTTGAGAACTACAGCTTCGAGGTAGTTAAAGACTTTATATACCTTGGCACCGCCATAAATAAAACGAATGACATCAGTTTTGAAATTCGGAGACGGATTGTGATGGCCAACAGATGCTACTATTGTCCCGCCAGACCAAACTCACACTTTACAAGACGCTGATACTACCCGTGCTATTATATGGATCAGAAGCATGGGTACTTGCGCAAGCAGATGAGGCAGCTCTTGGGGTGTTTGAGAGAAAAATTCTCCGAAAGATCTACGGGCCGATCTGCGTCGACGGTGAATATCGGCGTCGAATGAACCACGAGCTTTACAATTTATACGCGGACATCGACATAATCAGTCGTATTGAGCTGCAGCGACTACGGTGGCTAAGCCATGTTATGCGGATGAATGAGACTGACCCAGCTCAAAAGGCATATAAAAACGAGCCTACTGATGGTTCCCGTAGAAGGGGAAGGCCACAAATTAGATGAAAAGACCAAGTAGAAAACAACGTCTTGGAACGTGGTCTTCCAAATTGGTGGACTTGCGCACAAGACCGACGCGCTTGGAAATCTTTTTTAAGCTCGGCTTATGGAACAACCGTTCTGTAACAAGCCAGCTAAGTAAGTAAGTATTGACCAATCCTATTCCATTTGGCCACAGGGATATTTTGAGTTAAGTACTACTCCGTAAAACGAACTTTTTAATATCCGTCCGTCGTTATGAATACATGAACCATTGAAGATGGTTGGAGGTGTTTCTATTTCTAGGTTTGCATCGAATCCTCCTTAAAAACAGGAATTGGTTCCCAATTTGTAAGGTGAACCTCAAATTACAATTCAAAGTTAATGATCAAATTACAATTGTTCTATTACATTTGTAAATGTTCAACATTCAAATATTATTGCATGCTTTTAGGCGTTTTTCACCTTCATGACAATTACCAGAAAATATTTGCGAAAACAAAACCATGTTACTTCCCTTTAAAAATTACATAATCCAGCAACCATGTTCGCTCTTTATACGCTCTTACACTGGCTGGTTTTCCCATATTTCATTCACTTGATATATGTGCTTGTGCTTCGATGCATCAGCACCACAGCAACACATAATTGGACCCGGGAGGATGGTTACCCAACAAAAACACACACATACAGCACCAACAACAATGCAATGCAACATTTCATGTATGTTAACCAGGCTTTAAATAGCTGCAGTTCATGGCATTTCTCTTAATTACAATGAAGACTGAATGTTCGGGGCAGTTTTTTGTGGACACACATATGCATACATAGCGACAATAATCATCACACCCACCAATAAAGCTATAGTGATTTTGGGATGCAAACAAATTGGAAAATATGACTGTTTTCGCAATGATGGCTTTTAAATGTCATTTAAATGAGAATTGATGGGAAAATTGTCTGAAATTTAATTATAGTAAAAAACGTGTTTATCTACGTACATATATACACACATATGTGCATAGTTTATCCTCCACAAGGTATGTATATTTTTAATAGCTTTCAGCATAAGGTGGGTGGTATATTTAATTTACCATTCCCAATGCAACACTTATTTGGCCCAAGGACGAAGCCTATTGAAATTGAGAAAAATCAGTTCAGATTTGGATATAGCTCCCATGTATATTTTCGTCCGATTTAATAAAAATGGTGTACCAAAGTCCCTATATATATCTTTCGATTCGCACGAAATTTGGCACAGCGTAGTGATTTAGATCTACTCTGATGTGTGCCAAGTTTCCAGAAAATCGGTTCAGATTTCGATATAGCTCCCATATATATTTTCGTCCGATTTAATATAAATGGTGTACCAAAGTCCCCATATATCTATCGATTTGCACGAAATTTGGTAAAGCGTAATGAATTAGGTCTAGACTAATGTGTGTCAAGTTTCCAGAAAATCGGTCCAGATGTTGATATAGCTCCCATATATATTTTCGTCCGATTTAATGTAAGTGGTGTACCAAGGGTCCTATATATCTCTCCATTTGCACGAAATTTAGCATAGCGTAATGAATTAGGTCTAGACTGATGTGTTGTAAGTTTCTTGAAAATCGTCCAGATTTAGATATAGCTCCCAGATATATTTTCGTCCGATTTAATGTAAATGGTGTACCAAAATCCCTATATATCATTCGATTTGCACGAAATTTGGCATAGCGTAATGAATTAGGTCCAGACTGATGTTTGTCTAGTTTCCGGAAAATCGGTCCAGATTTAGATATAGCTCCCATATATATTTTCTTCCGATTTTATGTAAATTATGCGATATGGTTAGGATCAAGAAGTAGTTCCTCAAGTCACTAGCCTGCAAAATTAGGAAGTCGATAAAGAAACTATGTTACAAACCTACCTACGCCGGTCCAGTGTGATCCGGCAACGTAAATGCTACGTAATGAAACAGCAACAGGAACTGTCGTCTCATGACTCTGAGACAAAGATCCTTCCTGTGCGTCACAACACAAACAAAATGTAGTCCATGCAATATCTGATTGAGTGTTACAGGAGAAGCTCTTCAAATCGACACCTGGTGTATTGGCATCCTTCGTCTAGGCATGTCAGGAGGGAAGTCCAAAATCTAGAGAAAATTTACAGAAGAAAACCTTTAGAATTTGAATTGTATTCACACTGATGCAGCTCGGAGAATTGCCGTCACCGATATCATCAGAAGAGCAGCTGCTACCGAGAAAAATTATAGTAATTTTTTGGTTCTATATTCTGAGCTTGGACAATATTTCGCGATATTTGTACCCTCTAGACCGTCTAGAGATCAACAAATATTACTAATATTCTGTACAGCCCTTCTAATTACTTGTGCAGGTTCCCTTAACCGTTGGTTATGTTGTCCTTGACCATACCTGGATTCTCATGGAGAATGTCAAAGTCATCAGCGCTATATTTTCGCCCTCTAGTGTGGTAATAATATATGAATACGTAAGCACCCGTAAATATTTAAGTGTAACTCCCACACCCGAGTATTGGTATCAATGTAAAGATCAACCAATATTCTATTAATTTTCGGGTCTATGTCCTTCAGGGGTAAATATATTCGCTATAGAATACAAATTTTGTAATTTTTCACACAAAAGTCAGGGGCCATTTCACTTGCTAAATATTGACCGATCTTTATCAAAACAGGTATGCTCATTCTTTTGCCAGATTCCCTTCTCCATGTAAAAATTCGCGATGTTTGGACCATAAATGCGGTCTCTGGAGCGACCAGATAATCAGACAAAAATTATGTTTTTGGTCCATTTCATCCCTTAAATATTAACAGATCTTTTCCAAAAGCAATAGGGGTCTTCATTGACCCTTCCTGAAGATTGGCCTATATCTGTGGCCTGTATCGTATTTACAAATTATAATGGACAGACGGACACACATATCCAGATCTACACCCTCTTGGGGCTGTTACACCCTCTTGGGGCTGTATAAAGTTAAAATAGGGTATAAAAATCCACACATTCCGATTTGTCGTACTAATAGAAATATTATTTAAAAATCCACAAATTATGATTCGACAGACCCCTAGAAATACTGTTAAAAAATCAAAGCATTCTGATTCGACAGGCCTCTAGAAATATTTTTTTAATCACAAGATCACTATGGTGTAGCCGTCTCAATTCACATTGGGCTTCAATTTACGTTACACCCTCTTGGGGCTGTATAAAGATAAAATAGGGTATACAAATCCACACATTCCGAATCGTCGTACTCCTAGAAATGTTATTTAAAAAATCCACAAATTATAATTCGACAGACCCCTAGAAATACTGTTTAAAAATTCAAAGAATTCTGATTCGACAGGTCTCTAGAAATATTTTTTAGATCACAATATCACGATGGTGTAGCCGTCTCAACTCATATTGGTCTTCAATTTACGGAGTCCAAATAGTTCAAAATATCTCCCACGTAGACCATATTGAAAGGATGAAATAACACAACAGTAATAGCGGTAAAAAGACAAGGATTTCGTTTAGATTTCTTTATGGACATATTTACTGTTTTAGGGTCCCGTTTTAATTTCAGGATAACTAAACTTTGTCTTTGAATGTCTTCTTATTTTGTTTCCTCCCCTGCTCCTCAGCGGGTTAAATTCTGAATTTTCCTTCATTTGAAATATTTGTCAAATTTATTTCCATGATTAAATATCAAAATTTCATGGAAATATAACTTGTAAAAGTTTTCAAAAAAAGTGTGACACCCACAAATACCACTTAGCTCGCAAAAAAACTGAAACTGTTACCGAACCAACGAAATTGAGATGAGGTTTGTGCGGTTCAGTGAAACGGAATGGGAAATGCATTTCATTCGAGGATGCAATGTTATTTACGTGCGTGCAAAAATTCTTGGAAATAACTCAAAGCCAGCAACAACTTGCAAAACATTTTAACAACAACACCGACAACGTTCACACACAAACACACTCTGAAAACCATTTACTTTTGAAAACTGACATTTGAATTTCAATTAATTTTTCACTGACAACCATATTTTTTTCTCTCTTTCTCTCCCTTTGCCAATTTTTTTTTGCAGCATCACCATGCGACTGGATACAAATTCAAATGAAGATTTCAAGCCGTTGGGTTCAACATTTTGTGTAAGTGTCAACCAACCAAACCGAGCATCCAATGACAACAACAACAACAAAAACACTTTTGGCCTCAAACCAAGCAAGGACATTTACCAAATTGACTCTCCATCACCGGAGGCTTTGGAAAAATTGTTTCGATATTGTTTTTTTATTTTTTTGTATTTTTTTTTTAATTGAATGTTCTGTTTTCTTGTTATTCTTTTTTTCGTGATATCTATGCAGTTAATTAAACCAGAAACTTTACCCACCTGGGGTGGTTCAGCCAAAACAGATACAAGACTGCCAATAACTGATTATTCCACAATAGGAGGCCCACGTCACAACTGCAGTCCCTTTCCCATATCCCGTGATGTCAATAATCGTTTTATCCTCTGGTAAGTTTTGTGATCTTTTTTTCGATTTTTAATTAATTGAATTTGTTAGCCAATAATGGAAATAGATACATCCAAACACACACACAAATATAGAGGAGGACTCTAAAATACAAGTAACAAAGTTTGTTTTAATTAAAATTGACATTGAATCGACTAGATTGAAGTAGTTTTACTTTTTCATTTCGAATCTCCATATTTTTTGTTTACAGGGACGGTGATATCGCCTCTCTAGATGTGGACGTCATAACCAATACAACCGATGAGACTTTAACCGAAAGCAATATAGTATCGGATCGTATTCTAAGTGTAGCCGGTAATCAATTGAAAGAAGATTTAGCTCACAATGTTAGAGGTAAGTATATTTGAGGATATACATATATGCTTATAACTGAGACAGAGCCCCCAAAAATATTCTGTGGAAAATCTACCCAAAAATATTCCTGAATAGACCATTTAAAAATAGCCTTTAAAAAATCCTGGGTAGACCACCAAAAATATTGCTCTGCAATTCCTGCCTGGATATACCCAAAAAAAACTATTTAAGAAATCATGGAAGAACACCAAGGATATGCTTTAAAATATTTTGGATTGACTTCAAATTTTGTTTTAAATGCTTACATTCGGACTCGACAGAACCCTAGAAATATTCTTTAAATAATCCACGCATTCTGGTTCGACACAACCCCAGAAATATTCTTTAAATAATCCACGCATTCCGGTTCGACAGAATCCCAGAAATATTCTTTAAATGATCCACACATTCTGATTCGACAGAACCCTTGAACTATTCTTTAAATAATCCACACATTCTGGTTGACAGAACCCTAGAAATATTCTTTAAATAATCCACGTATTCTGATTCGACAGAACCTTAGAAATATTCTTTAAATAATCCACGCATTCTGGTTCGACAGAACCCTAGAAATATTCTTTAAATAATCCACGCATTCTGGTTCGACAGAACCCTAGAAATATTCTTTAAATAATCCACGCATTCTGGTTCGACAGAACCCTTGAACTATTCTTTAAATAATCCACGCATTCTGGTTCGACACAACCCTAGAAATATTCTTTAAATAATCCACGCATTCTGGTTCGACAGAACCCTAGAAATATTCTTTAAATAATTCACGCAGTCTGGTTCGACAGAACCCTAGAAATATTCTTTAAACGATCCTCGCATTCTGGTTGACAGATCCCTAGCAATATTCTTTAAATAATCCACGCATTCTGGTTCAACAGAACCCTAGAAATATTCTTTAAATAATCCACGCATTCTGGTTCGACAGAACCCTAGAAATATTCTTTAAATAATCCACGCATTCTGGTTCGACAGAACCCTAGAAATATTCTTTAAATAATCCACGCATTCTGGTTCGACAGAACCCTAGAAATATTCTTTAAATGATCCACGCATTCTGGTTCGACAAAACCCTAGAAATATTCTTTAAATAATCCACGCATTCTGGTTCGACATAACGCTAGAAATATTCTTTAAATAAACCACGCATTCTGGTTCAACAAACCCCTAGAAATTTTATTTAAAAATTCACGCATTCTGGTTCGATATTCCAAATCTTTAACTGAGTCACGAGGAGATATCCTTGGAGTCGCTTAGATTAACACAGACCGACGAATCTAGATTTGCAACAAGGTTTCTTTATCAGAACTGCAATTCTGCAGGCTAGTGTCGTGATAACCTTCTTTATGGTCCTGACCATATCGCATATAGCTGTGATGTCCGTGGATGGCTTATAGAGTCGAATCGAATGTGACAGAATCCACAATATCGGGGTAATTAGTTGTTGTAATTATGAACCCATCGTCCTGCACATTCAAACGTAACCGCATTTCCGCTGTACATGTGGTAAGATGTGTGACCGAATATTTTCATATGCTTCGTATAGAAAACTCTATACGTTAAAATCTCATTGCCATGAGTTGGGCATAGAATACTAGAAAGGTAAAACGGTTCCGAAGATATCAACTCACCTTGAAGAACTACTTGTTTCAATTTACGGATTTTAGACTTTTTCCTGTACTCTACTGACAACTGGCGCATAGCTCACGAGCCAATGTTTCCAACTAAGCTTGATCCGACCACTTCTGGTTGAGTCATTTCGTAATATGCGTGAAAATATCGTAAAAGGTTATTATCGGACTATGCTACTTCTGAAATTCACTTTGATAATCAGCATCTGGGTAATATTTTCCAAACATTAGGAGAAGCAAAGCCTCAGGGGTCTTGTCTACTGTCGACAAAAGTGAAATCGACTTGTTTGATTTAACAGTGCTGGCATCTTCGCCTGACCTCAGTAACGGGAACATCCCGCCCATATTCGAGGTATCGGGAACTGTTAGGTCGGCTAACGACACATTCAGGTCAGTTGTTTTTTCTTCTGATTCATCCAGTTTTTTCAACATTATCATAGATATTTCGTCTGGACGAAACATCAGAACTTAAATTATGGTGGTTTCTCCGCAGCCTGAAGAGATCGCATACTACACAATACTCTTTTCTTCATCCTATTGAGAATGAACAAGAGATGATAGGCCCAAAGGTGGGCTACTTAACCGATGCACACAATTTACCCGATCAGGTACTGATGTTGTAACACTAGAGAAGTTCTAGGACCTTTTACCGCTCATGCTCACCGACTAATGTTGAATTATAATTATTATGAATTATAATTCCCTCAGAGATTACTATGTCGAGTGGCCTGTTTATAGATATGATAATAGGAAGGTGGTATGACCCTAATTGAATGATGTGTGACAAAATTATGTCATATGTCAGGCCCGGAGACATGAAGAATATGACCGGTGAGCTGTTGCTCTTTCCTCTTATACTGATGGGTATGACCTCAATTGCTATGTACAGTTACTACAGCTTATGGCTCTGATAGTCTCTCACAAATTTTAATTTTAATATCCGTGGTTATGGTTCGAAGAAAATTTTATTTATAAATGTGCGTTTGAGTTTCTGATTTGTCTCAAAAAAGCCCCAAAAATATACTTCCAAAAATCCACGCTTTCTGTTTAGAAAGCCTCTAAAAATATTCTTTAAAATGTTCACACCTTCTGTTCGGAAAGGCCCAATAATATTTTTTAATAATATTTTGTCATATATCAGGCCCGGAGACGTGAAGAATATGACCGGTGAGCTGTTGCTCTTTCCTCTTATCCTGATGGGTATGACCTCAATTGCTATGTACAGTTACTAAAGCTTATGGCTCTGATAGTTTCTCACAAATTTTAATTTTAATATCCGTGGTTATGGTTCGAAGAAAATTTTATTTATAAATGTCGTTTGAGTTTCTGATTTGTCTCAAAAAAGCCCCAAAAAATATACTTCAAAAAATCCACGCTTTCTGTTTAGAAAGCCTCTGTTCGGAAAGGCCCAATAATATTTTTTTTTTAAATCTACGGTTTCCGTACGGAAAGGCCTCTGATAGGACCCCCACAAATATTATTTAAATGAAAGGCCGTGACAGGGCCTCCACAAATATTCTTCAAAAAACTCGCTTGTGGCTTAGACAGGTCCCCAAATATATTCTTTTAAAATTCACGAGTGTTGCTGTGATTGGCCTCCAAAAATATTCTTTAAAAATGTACACTTATTGCTCTGATAGACCCCAAAATTATTCATTTAAAAAATTCACGTTTGTAAATCTTATAAACCCCTAAAATATCTATTTAAAATCTACGCTTGTAATTTTGATAGGCCCCTAAATTATTCATTTAAAACATCTTGGGCTGTAATTCTGAAGGCCCCTAAAAATGTTCATTTAAAAACCCACGCTTGTAATATTCATTTCTAAATCCATGCTTTTAATTCTAATAAGGCCTCTAAAAATATTCATTTAAAAACCCAAACTTGTAATTCTGCTGCAATAGTCCCTCAAAAATAGTAAATAAGAAACTCTCTTATAATCACTCAAAATTTTTTTAAATATTTTTTATATTTATATATTTTTAAATAATTTTATTTATATATTAAATATTTTAATTTTTATATTATTTCAGAATGCCGTACCGGTGAAGTACGCGTTACAAAGGGTTACAATTTACCCGCCAAATATATTCTACACACAGTGGGGCCGTCATTTAAGGAGAAATTCAAAACTGCTGCTGAAAATACTTTACATTGTTGTTATAGGTGAGTCCAAACACTATACTCCTCTCTTCCAATTATTAACTATAATGCTCTCCTCTTCTTCTCCACAGAAATGTTTTATGTAAAGCCAAAGAACTGAATTTACGAACAATTGCCGTTTGCAATATTAGCACCAATCAGAAATCTTTTCCAGCTGATTTAGCCGCTCACATTGCTCTAAGTATATATTTGTCACTTGAGTTCCATTCTATCTGAATAGAAAACTAATTTCAACCGCTTTCCTCTTTCAGGAACAATTCGTCGTTTTTTGGATAAATTTACAACACAAGTGGTGATATTCTGTGTTAGTCCCCATGAACGGGGTATCTATGAGGTGCTGGCACCTTTGTATTTTCCTCGTGACAATCTGGAGGAGCGCAGCGCATTGTGGCAACTGCCGAAAGATATTGGCGGTGAATATGGTGAACCACAGCATCCGGATCGTCAGATACGTATAATACGTAATCCACAGCATAGTGTTCTAATGCGTCATCATGGTATGTAAGGAAAAGAGAATGGAAAAAAATTATTGTGAGAGGTGGATAATTGAGATTACAAGAAAATTGAAAGGAGAAACTGTAACTAAAAACATTTCTTAAAAAACCCACCACAAAAAAATTGTCTAAAAAGTCAACCTTTCAGAATGGATATGCCTCCAAAATATTATTTATAAAAGCCACGCTTTCTGTTTGAAAAGGACCCCAAAAATATTGTTGAAAAAATCACGATTTCTGATAAGGAAGAAACCCAAAAACATTCTTTACAAAAATCCACGTTTTCTGTTTGGAATGCCTCCAAAACATTCTTTACAAAAATCCACGCTTTTTGTTTGAAAAGGCTCCCAAAAATATTCTTTAAAAAATTCACGCTTTCAAATCGGAAAGGCTCAAAAAATATTATTTTAAAATTCAAAAATCTTTTAAAAATCCATGCTTATAATTCTGATAGGCCCCTAAAAATATTCATTCAAAACCCCATGAATATAATTCTAACCAGAATGGAAAGTAGTAAACTCGGACTGGGCCGACTATATGATACCCTTCACCAATTTGAGTATATTCACATATGTATCCTAACAGACGTCGCCTTTTCGAAGGAACATTAACAACTTAAAAATCTCAATCAGACACCCATTGATTTTTTGGGTGTACAGTTAACATGAATAAGTCCAAATTATATATGGAAGCTATGTTATATCTATATCTGAACCGATTTCAAGGAATTAACATATATAAATTTATATTATCTTCAGTACGTTGTGTCAATCGGGGAATCTATGGATCTTTAGTGAACCATTTACTTAAAATCGGACGAAAATATATATGGGAGCTAAATCTGAACCGATTTTTCACGAAATTTAACACACATCGTTCTAGACTTAATTCAGTGCGCTATGACAAATTCCGTGCAAATCGAAGGATATATAGGGACATTGGTACACCATTTTCATAAAATCGGACGAAAAAATATATATGGGAGCTCTATCTATATCTGAACCGATTTTCACGAATTTTAACACACATATTTCTAGAAGGATATATAAGGACTTTGGTGCACCATTTACAAAAAATCGGACGAAAATATATGTATATGAGAGCTACATCTAAATCTGATCCGATTTGTACGAAATTTAACACACATCTTTCTAGACTTAATTCAGTACACTGTGCCAAATTTTGTGCAAATCGAAAGATATATAGGGACTTTGGTGCACCAATTACCTTAAATCGGAGGAAAATATCTACGGGAGCTATATCTAAATCTGAACCGATTTCCTCGAAACTTAGCACACATCATTCTAAACATAATTCAGTGCGCTGTGCCAAATTTTGTGCAAATCGAAAGATATATAACGACTTTGGTGCACCATTTACATGAAATCGGACGAAACTATATATGGGAGCTATATCTAAATCTGGACCAATTTTCACGAAACTTGGCAGACATCATTCTAGGCTCAATTCAGTACGTTATGCAAAATTTCGTGCAAATGGAAATATATATAGGGACTTTGGTGCACCATTTACATGAAATCGGACGAAACTATATATGGGAGCTATATCTAAATCTGGACCGATTTTCACGAAACTTGGCAGACATCATTCTAGGCTCAATTTAGTACGTTATGCCAAATTTCGGGCAAATCGAAAGATATATAGGGTCTTTGGGGCACCATTTACATGAAATCGGACTATATATGGGAGCTATATCTATATACTTGGGACATCACTCTAGGCTTATCAATACGTTGTGCCAAATTTCGTGCTAATCGAAAGATATATAGGGACTTCGGGGCATCATTTACATGAAATCGGACGAAACTATATATGGGAGCTATATCTAAATCTGGACCGATTTTCTCGAAACTTGGCAGACATCACTCTAGGCTTAATTCAATACGTTGTGCCAAATTTCGTGCTAATCGAAAGATATATATGGACTTCGGGGCATCATTTACATGAAATCGGACGAAACTATATATGGGAGCTATATAGAAATCTGGACCGATTTTCTCGAAACTTGGCAGACATCTTTTTAGGCTCAATTCAGTACGTTATGCCAAATTTTGCAAATCGAAAGATATATAGCGACATGCACCATTACTGAAACCTAAATGATATACGCTATACCAAATTTCGTGCAAATGGCAAAGATATATAGACCTAAATGATTACGCTGTACCAAACATTAAATCGGTTAAATATATATATGGGAGCTATATCTAAATCTGAACCGATTTTTCCCAATTTCAATAGGGTTCATCCTTGGGCCGAATAAGTGACCTGTGCCAAATTTCATCCAATTCGGATCATAAATGCGACCTGTACTTTGTTTACAATTTAACATGCACAGACAGACAGACGGACGGACGGACGGACATGCATAAATCGACTTAAAAAGTGATTCTATGTATATTCTCAAAAGGAACCATGTGTCTATCTCGTTTCCTTTTGCCTGTTACAAACATATGCACAAAGACATAATACCCTGTACCACAGTGTGGTGAAGGGTATAAATATGCAATAAAAAATTCACGGTTTCTGCTTGGATAGGCTCCAAAAATATTCACATACAAATTCTCGCGGCAATTAGGAAATCTTGTTCACAGTCCATAAGAGAAATTATAATTTTTTCTTAATAGAGGACAGTCCATAAGTGAAATTATTATTTGTTCTTAATAGAGGACCTCTCCACATTACCTTCGTCATTTTTTTTTTTTTTTTTTTTTTTTTTCTTCTTATCGCCGAAATTTAATTCTGAAACCACAATAAATTACTTGCATTTCGATAACAATACAAATCTACAATTGAAATGAAATAATCAACACCTCAGTTATTCGCTACCACTATTTTCAATGTCTCCAAAACGCAATCACCTCTTTTGTCCATATGTCGTCGTCATTTGGCTTTTGATAAGATTACAACTGAACAAAAAAAATCTACAACCAATCATTCCCGGCCGATACGAGAATTTGTTTGGTAAAACAGTTTTTTTATTTAGTTCATTGTTTATATTCTCTACGGCAACGTGTCTTTTTAGCGGGTTTTACGAATTTCTATTTTTTTAATATATAAATAAATTAATCGGCGATTTATCGTTTTTGAATATCGGTGTTTATTTATCTGCAAAAAAATTAAAGCGTGAAGAGAACTGTAAAAGGTGTTATAAGTTCAGAATTATGTACGTAAACAAAAATAAATGTATGTGAAATAACAGATTATGAATCATAGATTTTATGATTAGTGATAAGAAATGTTTTTGATAAAAAAAATAATCCAAAGTACGTAAATGCTCTTTTTTGGAGACAAACAGACTATGAGATGATAATGCCAACGATAAGAAATCAATTTGACAACAAAATTGGATAAATGACTACTTAGTGCCAAGTGGTAATTGAACTAGACAAATGTCTGACAAAATTCGTGCGAACTGGAAACGAATTTGTTATACTTGTTTGGAGAACTTCGATTATTTCTCCGATTTTATTGATATTTTCGTCGGCCGGCCGGTTAATTGGTGTGGCACCCACATATCGAGCTTCTTTTTGAATCCAGCTTTGTGTAAATGGTTTAAAATAGTTTTATGGTCGACATTTAGCTCCTGGGCGATGTTACGACTACTAACATGCCGGTCAACTTCGATCATTTCTCCGATTTTATAGACATTTTCGACGACTCCTATCCTATGGTTTGCGAAGGTCTAAGGAATTACACACAGATTTTATTATTAGCTTTATATAAGAAACTAGCAAAATGCCCGCTACTTCGTATGCGGAAAGGGAATACAAAAAAAAGAAATATTTCATATGCAAGTGTACTATAGTTTTGAATTCCACTTCTATACCTACATCTAATATCATGTTTATTATCATTTAGTACTCTTCATACACATAAACACTATTTTCCGAAATATCGTTCTTATTTCCATTACACTTATTAAAAATAGATCAGAATTCCAATTATATATTTACCAAATCCAAATTTAGCACCATTTAGTAATTTTTATACTCATATATAAGAATTGCTAAAACTACATCAATCCTACACTCTAACAATAATCCTTATTCCACCAAAGTTCAAATTGTACCAACTTTAGTACTTTTTGTACTAATAAGTACAAATTTCCAAAGTAACTCAGTCCTGATTTTAAATAGTAATCGTAAGCCCAAATTTAAAAATTGCAGTTCTGTATGTTCATTAAAAACTAAATTGTACCAGATTTGATATCATTCTGTACTTTTCGTACCCATATTCCAAACCTGCTTTTAAATAGTAATTGTAAGTCCAAATTTAAACTTTTCAGATCTGTATGTTTACCCAAAATCCAAATTGTACCAAATTTAGTGCCGTTTAGTACTTTTCGTACACATAAATACAAATTTCCAAAGGTGTGTCTATAGCTCAATCTTCAACAGTAATCTTAATTCCAAATTTCATTTCATTTTAATTCTCAATTTGAAGACTCCAGCTCTATTCGTCCACCTAAATCCAACTTGCCCAAAATTTAGTACCATTTAGTACTTTTCGTACACATAAGTACGACTTTTAAATGCTACCTCAATCATGTACTCCAATTGGAATCCCAATTCCTATTTTCAGCATTCCATCCCTATACACTCAACTAAATGCAAATAGTACCAAATTTAGTACCATTTTGTACTTTTTATACACATAAGTACGAATTTCATAAACCATTTCCATATATCAACATTACTTCCCAACCTGTATTCTATATAAAATTTCAAGATTCTACTTTCAATATCTATACAATTAGAAATAAACTTAGTAGTGTTTAGTATTTTTAGTACACTTATAGGTCGAATTTTCAAAAACAATTTTGTACATCTTTCTAACTTTCCATCAGTTCGTCCAATACAAAGGGTACCATATTTGGTACATTTTAATACTTTTCGTACACTTCTGGTTCGAATTTCCAAAAACCCAGCCTTATCTCACGCCTACACGCCGTTTCGTCTGGGCGATGATCTGTCAGTCAC